ATATATATATATATATATATATATATATATATATATATATATATATATATATATATATATATAAAATATTATTATTATTATTATTATCATTATTATTATTATATGCTTTTATTTATTTTGCCTCAAATCAAATTTTCCTCACAGTAAACAACAATGAAGTTATATACACATACAGTTAAAGTCATAATTATTAGACCCCCTTTAAATTATTTTTTCTTTTTTAAGTATTTCTCAAATGATGTTGAACAGATTCAGGAAATGTTCACAGTATGTCTGATAATATTTTTTTCTTCTGGAGAAAGTCTTATTTGTTTTATTTCGGCTAGGATAAATGCAGTTTTTCATTTTTTAAACACCATTTTACGGTCAATATTATTAGCCCGTTTCAGCTATATTTTTCTCGATTGTCTCCAGAACAAACCATCGTTATACAATAACTTGCCTGATTACCCTAGTGAAGCCTTTAAATGTCACTTTAAGCTGTATAGAAGTGTCTTGAAGAATATCTAGTCTAATATTATGTGCTGTCATCATGGCAAAGAGAAAATAAATCAGTTATTAGAGATCAGTTATTAACACTATTATGATTAGAAATGTGCTGGATAAATCTATCCATCTATCTGTATCTGTATCTGTCTGTCTGTCTGTCCATTATAAAAATGATGTTTTATAGTATTAAAAGGCACTTGAAGTTGAAATATGATTAAATTATTCGCTGTAATCATTTGAAGTGACAATATTATGCATATTTATGGTCGGCATATGCTGTATTGTTAATAATCATGACACGTGGTCTAGTATTTAATGAATTGAGAGTGCTGGTTTTCCTGCGTGTTTGTAGATGTGGCTTTGCTGGAGAGACCGGGCCGAGATTCATCATCCCCAGTGAGATTAAAAATCCAGGATCTCAGGAGGTCAGTCTGACATTTACTACAGTTAATCAGCATCATAATAGATGGTCTAATGCTGCACAGTATATGGTTTCAGCATGGATATCACACTGTGTGAATCTGCAAGAGTCCCATCACAGAATCTGCAGTGTGGAGTATAATGTTGAAATAATGACAGTATTGCTCTTCCCCCATTGTCAGATTATTGTGCTTGTTTAAAGGAAATACTCACTTCATTTTGACTCATTTTGACTGAATATTTAGTGTTTGTCTAAAAGTCCTTTCTGATTTAGGAATATTTATATATTTGGACTAGAAACAGCAGAAACTCTTGAGTAAGAGCAGCATTTCTTCAGTCTTATTTTACATTTAATTGGGGAAAAGGCAGAAAATCAGGCTAAAAGATGATCCTGCACCACACTGTTATTGTAGTGTTCATTCATTCATTTTCAGCTTAGTCCCTTTATTAATCCGGGGTCGCCACAGTGGAATGAACCACCAACTTATCCAGCATATGTTTTACACAGCGTATGCCCTTCCAGCTGCAACCCAGTACTGGGAAACATCCACATTCACACACCACACTCATACACTACAGACAATTTAACCTACCCAATCCCCCTATAGTGCATGTGTTTGGACTGTGGGGGAAACCAGTGCACCAGGAGAAAACTCACGCCAACACGGGGAGAACATGCAAACTCCACACAGAAACACCAACTGACCCAGCCGGGACTCGAACCAGTGACCTACCCACTGCCACACTGTTCTACCCTATTGTAGATGTGTCAAGTTAAAGGAGGATGATGATGATGATGATGATGATGATTGTGTGTGTGTGTGTGTGTGTGTGTGTGTGTGTGTGTGTGTGTGTGTGTGTGTTCAGGTGGTGGCTGTGGTTCAGTTCAACATCAACACAGAGGAGCTCTACACCATCCTGAAGGAGTTCATCCACCTGCTGTACTTCAGGTGAGCGTGTGTATGTGTGTGTGCGGGACTGTGTGTGACTATTTGTGTATGTGCAAGTGCTTGTCTGTGTGTGCGTGTGTGTACATAGTACATGCGAGTGTGTGAGAACGTGTGATTGTTAGTGCAATTGACCTAGTGTGTGTGTGTGTGTCTGTGTGCGCGTGTATATGTATGCAAGTGGAGTGTGTGTGTGTGTGTGTGTGTGTGTGTGTGCGCGCATTGCTGGTATGTGCCTTTTGTGTGCCTACTCTCCATGTGTGTGTGTTTGTCTGTGCAAGTGTGTTTGTGTCTGTGTGTGCATTGAATGTGTGTGAATGTGTGTGTGCGTGTGTGTACATAGTGCATGCGAGTGTGTAAGAGCGTGTGATTGTTAGTGCTATTGACCTAGTGTGTGTGTGTCTATGTGCGCGTGTATATGTGTGCAAGTGGAGTGTGTGTGAGTGTCAGTTTGCTATATATATGTGTGTGCGTGCATATTGTGTGTGTGTGTGTGCGCGCATTGCTGCCATTGCTGTGCCTTTTGTGTGCCTGCTCTCTATGTGTGTGTGTGTGTGTGTTTGTCTGTGCAAGTGTGTTTGTGTTTGTGTGTGTGTGTGTGTGTGTGTGTGTGTGTGTGTGTGTGTGTGTGTTCTCTTTGTGCT